TGAGCCACAGGTGCCAAGCCACTTAATTCATTTTTTATGGAATTCCAGAGAACTAATGCATAAACTGATTGGAGTAGCGGGGTGGGCGGTGAGTACAGGACATTCTTAGCAGCCCTCGACTCTGCATAGTGGCCGGTGCATGGTGGGAGCTGAATCAAATCAGGTTCTCCTGAACGGGACCCACCCTCTCTCTTTCCAAGTCGTCTCTCATCTGCTGGTGCTCATGTTCAGTCAGTTCTTGGTCTCCATCCTGGTCATACTTTGTGAATATTGCTTCAATCTCTGCATCAGTATGGCCCTTCCTGAAATTATTGAGAGGATAAGAGTGAAATCATCCTTGTACACAGAGCCATCAAACTGCAGGAGGAAGGAGAAGTGGCTGCCCGAGAGGGAGCCGTCCTCCTCTAACAACACAATCCAGAAGATACCTGACTCTGACAACAAGCATACCTTTCTGTGAGTGCCCAGGCCAGAGAAATCCTTATCACCAAGAACTTATCTTTGGAAGCCAGAACTTCCCAGGGCCTCAGGAAGTGTGATTCTTACCCTTTGAGATCTTGTCGAAGTTCATCGAAGTTTAACTTGCCTCCCCCTTGCCGCAGACTCTCTGAAATGTCATCCACGGTATTTTTTTTCAGTTTTAGTTTGGCCAAAGCTTTATGGTAGCCCTATCAGGAAAAAAGAATAAAGCAAAAAGCATTGGCTTAGTTTATTGTCCCTTTGCATTTACCTTCATTTACGGTAGTAACCACCATCAACCACTGCCTGGTATAAAATGGACCGAAACAAGTATGCGTTGAATGAATGAAAAATGAGAGTACCCAGCTTTCCATATAACGCTTCCATATAACTCTTAGGGAAAAGTTCTATGGCAAAGGTCAGGATCTTCTCTAAACTAAGAAGAACCAAGGGCCACAATTCATATGTATATTCAGGTTTAGGTGACAGACACAAAAAAATCACTAAATAGTCCATAACTGTCTGCCTCAAAATAGATAGAAATATGCAACAGTACTTAAGAATACCAAGAAACCTGAGTCCTGTGATTATCTCATACTCACATGAGTGTAAAAAATAATCCCAGTGAAATGTACATGAGGATTTTATTATCAAACTTCAGGCAGCTCCTGGGTTGTGTGGGGCACAACACCGTGAGTTTATGACCTTTAACTTTTTGTCAAAACATTAAAAACTCCCTTGGTTTTTTGCATAAGCTTATAGGAAAAAAAATAAAGTGAATGAGTATTGGACACATTGGAATTTAAAACATTAGAAACCCTGAGAAACAGAGTGTTTGATTCCTTTGTAAACTGCATATCCTGAGTAGTCTGAACAGGGCGTGTCTTCCCTGTGTTATTACATCATCCGTCTTATAATATGCAATGAATGTCTTTTTTATGCATTGTCATACTCCTTTCTTAATATGGATTACTTCCAACATTTTTTCTTTTGCACTGTCATTATTGTGAAATATCTCTAACAAAAGTTACTTTAGTGTGAAGTTTTTTTTGCCAGCATTTTTTTTTTTTTTTGGAGATAAGAGTCTCACTTTGCCCACTCTGTAGAGTGCCATTATAGCTCACAGCAACCTCAAACTCCTGGGTGCAAGCCATCCTCCTGCCTCGGCCTTCCATGTAGCTGGGACTATAGGTGCTCGCCACAACACCTGGCTAGTTTTTCTGTTTCTTTTAGTAGAGATGGGGTCTCACCCAGGCTCAGGCTAGTTGCTCCCAAGCTCAGGTAATCCACTCTCCTCAGCCTCCCAGAGTGCTAGGATTATAGGCATGAGCCACTGCGCCTGGCCTGCCACCATCATTTCTTCTGAGGCAGCTTCACCCTTCTCTTCACTACCACTTTCCCCATTTACACTGATAAACCTTCCTTCACTAAGTTTTTCGGGCTGCAGTGTCTACACTTTATGGTCAGCTACGGGTTTTATAAATCCATCGTGTTTGCTTTGAATTTCACTTTCAGTGCTCTCATCTTTCTGTTTCTTAGCTGTATTTTTTTTTTTTTAAAGACAGAGTCTTACTCTTGTCTCCTTGGGCTCAAATACAGTGGTGTCATCATAGCTCACAGCAACCCCAAACTCCAGGGCTCAAGCGATCCTCCTGCTTCAACCTCCTAAGTAACGGGGTCTGCAGGCACCACACTTGGCTAATTTTTAAATGTTTAGTAGACATGGGTCTTGTGCTTGCTCTGGCCTCAGATGATCCTCCTGCTTCTTGCCTGTACTTTCATCTTTGCTGGCCCACTCTCTTTTTCAATTATGCATTTTCATTCAAGGTCACCTGGGTTTATTCCTGGGCAACAAGGAAGCAGCCCTACAGGCTTGTGTGAACTGAGTGGCAGATGTGCAGCGGCCACCTGGCAGCACTCTGCAGTTGCATCATGATAAGCCACTGGGCTCGAAGCTTATCTGTTACTTGGGTAACTGATTTGGAGACTGAAGAGCCGTTTGTACTTTGTGCTACTGTTCAAATGTCAGTTAATACATACCGTGATAACTGAAATGTGAACTTTGCTCTTGGGAACCTGGTGTATTATTTAATAAAATTGTGGTAACTGAAATTTGTACATTATCAGAATTGTGTGAAATGTTTGTAATGTGCTCTGGGGAAATGTAACCAACGACTCTGCAGAATTCAGGATAACGTCAATCTTAGGTCCTATCCAGGGACGTTTGTTTTAAGAGGCTAAAATTTTCTATTACAACATGATTCACAGAAAACATAGTCCCAAGGCTTGAACGAATCAAAAAAGAAAAAAGAAAAACACATCACAGTTAAGGAGCTACTATATTTTAGCAAAACGAAGTTAGGGAGCAGGCTGTGGGCACTAAATGCAGTTATCTGCTGTGGTTTAACTTTTACACTTTAAACCAAGTAAAGAAGTCACATGGAGAAGAACAAAGCCACCCAACTTTCCTGTCCTGCCCTTCTATTTAACAAACGCTTCCTGAGAAGGTGCATAAATAAAAGTTCTCAGGCCCCCATGCTACAGCCTGAATCTGTGGAGGGACCTTTTTCTTCAACTATTTAAAAACTGCCTTGGAAGGTCAAGGGTAAAGGCTGAACCACTAAGTATTTTCCTCTAGAACTTTTTCTTTTCTTTTTGAAATGGCAGTAGAGATAGAAAAGCTGGAAATGCCGTTCTATAATCTTCCTTTCTAGTCTATTCCGAACTCAGGATTTCTAATGGAGAGGCCAAAACAAACAAAGTGATGAAACCATCAGCTCAGTTCTGAAAGAGTCAAAAGATTACTGAGAATTTAGTTCCAAGGCATAAAATGATTCTGAAATTTAAGTGTGAGCTAGCAGTCTATCCATCCAGCCTCCAAGATCGGGAACATTAAAGTCATTCCTGAATTACAGCAATCTACTCTTTATTTTAAACGGTTTCAATGGAGGGTCAATGCTGATTTGGAAACCTGGCTGAAACAATGCTCATTTTATGTAGGAAATAAGACAATTCTGAGAATTACGGCTCTTCCTACCTTTCTGATAAGATCTGAGAGTTCCATTTCGGCTTTCTGCTGAGCCAAATCAGATTTCACTTCAGAGTAAGTATCATTGATAATGGCCAAAAACATGTTCTGTTTGTAAGTCAAAAGAGGACAAAAATTAAAGCAAGGAATCTAAATATATTCCGTAAACATCAATCCAAAAGTCCAAACAAGCCTTTTAGTACACTTCCCCCCCACTCCCCTGTCTCTCAGGGTTTTACTTCATTGTCAGATGGATGCCTGTCCCAGGAGGTCCTGCCCCAGGAGGTCCCGCTCCATTGTTGCTGGGTGAGGGGAGAGGGATGGTTTCCTGGCTCAGTGGGGTTGCTTCACACCACTGTGGCTTCTTGTTAGACAGGGGCATTCGATTAACACCAAGGCAGTCAGCTTCAGAAGGTGGTCCACCCTACAGCTTGCTGTTTCCTTACAAGACAGGTCTGTAATGAAAGTAGCCTTCTCCCTGTCTATCTCTGGAGGGCACAGGGTGAGCAACTCTTTTCTGTGCAGTAGTTTAAAAAATTATTTTAGTATAAAGACAAGGACTAAGGCTTTCTGTTCACGTTCTGGTGACTGATCTGATAAAATGACTGAATAATCTGCAAGGTGGTGCCTAGTATAGGACCACATGCAGACAGGTCTACATTTTGCTGGCCCTCATGCGGCAGATGGATGCCCTGAGAAAGCGCTGTGGCCTGAGGTCAACTGAAGGGTTAGTTATGGAACTCCATTCCTGGATTTTGACTTCTCAGTAGAGATTCAGGAGCTCCAGAATCCCAAGTACTACCAGTGTCAGAGAGGAACAAAGGCTTATTCTTCCCTCTA